GGTGGGTTAGAGCAGGGGGGCTGGGAGCCAGGATTCCTGGGTTCTCTCCCCGGCTCTGGGAGGGGAGTGGGGGCTGGTTGTTAGAGCAGGGGGTGCTGGGAGCTTTCAGTCTAGCTACGCTTTCCCTGCCACCGCCTTAGGGGTGGGGAGCCTGGTACCTGTACAAACATCCCTCCCCAGCCCGAGCGCCCTGCAGTTCCGAGGGCAGCCAGCAGGGGGCAGCCTCACACCCTGAGGATAATACATCAGGGGCAGCTTATTATAAACCGGGAATGGGGGCAGAGAAGGTGGGAGTGGGGCTGGGGGAGCCAGGCAGAGGGGTGGGCCAGTGCAGCCCTCAGTCTTGAGTGTGGCGGGGTGGGGGAATCTAATGTGTAATACACCTGCCCCCCCTTCTGTGCCTCCCCCTCCCCCACCATGCCAGGGCCTGACGGGACCATCCGGGGCTGGGAGGAGACGCTCAATGCCACGAAACCCTTGAACTACAATCCGGCCAGCGGGGAATTTGACGTCCTCCGGAAGGGCCTGTACTACCTGTACTGCCAGGTGAGGGGCAGCCAGATGCCTGGGTTCTCTCCTCGACTCTGAGAGGGGGGTGGGGGCTGGTGGGTTAGAGCAGAGGGGGCTAGGAGCCAGGACTCCTGGGTTCTCTCCCCGGCTCTGGGAGGGGAGTGGGGGCTGGTGGTTAGAGCAGGGCGGGCTGGGAGCCAGGACTCCTGGGTTCTCTCCCTGGCTCTGGGAGGGGAGTGGGGGCTGGTGGTTAGAGCAGGGCGGGCTGGGAGCCAGGAGTCCTGGGTTCTCTCCTCGGCTCTGGAAGGGGAGTGGGGGCTGGTGGATAGAGCAGGGGGGGTTGGGGCCTGGACTCCTGGGTTCTATTGACCCCCTCTGCCCCCGGCAGGTGCATTTCAACGAGGGGCGGACAGTGTACATCAAGCTGGACGTGGTGGTGGACGGGGTGCTGGCCCTGCGGTGCCTGGAGCAGTTTCCCCCGACCAGCGCCGGCCCGCAGGACCCCGAGCTGCACGTCTGCCAGGTCTCCGGGCTCCTGCTCCTCCAGCCGCACTCCGTCCTTCGCCTCCGCACCATCCGCGACGTGAGGCTCAAGGCTGAGCCCTATCTGACCTTCTTCGGCCTCTTCCAGGTGCACTGAGCCCGGGGCGGCGGGGCAGGACTCCTGGGTTCCCTGGGAGAGCAGTGGTGTTGAGTGGCCGGAGCAGGACGGGGCTGGGAGCCAGGACTCCTGGGTTCTATCCCCAGCTCTATATGCGGGCAAGGGTGTTTCGCATAGGAGAAGAAGTGGACGGTCCCACTGAGGTTTATTCTTCGGCCCCCACCCATTTATTTTACCACGAACGCCCAACACCGGCCCACCTCCCTGGCCATGGCAGAGACTGACAGCCGCAGCTGTCTTCCTGGCTCAGAAATCCCCAGGCCTGTTTCTCCAGCCGGTCCTGTGCCCCAAGGAGCTCTGTCTCTTGACTCCCTCTCTGGGTGACCCGCCCAGCCTGCCTCTCTGGCTTTCTGTGCCTCCATCGCTTTCTGTTTCTCACACACAGCGGCGATCCGTC